AATATCAAATGATCCTCAGGGAGTCTAAATGAATAATCTGTGACGCTAAAAATTTTGCTTTTAATAATCTTTATAATAGATTAGATATTAAGGAGGGTGAAAAATATATGTATAAACTGGCCAAACAAAGAGAAATGAAAAGTAAAGATTTAACTCAAGTGTATTAAAGATGAAAATCAAAAAGTGATTTTCTTAGAAAAAAGATATTCAACATAGGTAGGTGAGTTATATTTATAAACTTTTTAATGAAGTTTTTGAAAATACAACCGACTTTAGTGATTTTAATATCATTAATAATAATAAAACATTTCATTTTTACTGTCGCATTAGTAAAAAAGAAGTTGAGGAGACTTTAAAAAAATCAAGGATAGAACGTTTGTAGGACCTGATGATATCCCAATCGAAGTGTGTAAATATTTAAGAGATTTGGGAGTTTCTTGGATTACTGAACTCTTTGATATTATTTTAAAAACTAAAAAGATGTCTGAGGAGTGGAGGAAGAGTGTTTTGGTCCCCATTTTTAAGAAATAAAGAGGATGCACAAGAGTGCAAATTATAGAGGAATTAAGCTGATGTGTCATGATTTGAAATTATGGGAGGGTAATTGAACATAGGTTAATATGTATTACAAAGATTTCTCATAATCAATTTGGATTTATGCCGGACAGGTGTACTTTGGAAGCTATACATTTATTGAGAGGTTTGATGGAGAAGTTCAGAGATAATAAGGAGAATCTACATTTGATTTTTATTTATTTAGAAAAAGCTTACGATAAGGTTCCAAGAGATATCCTTTGGAGAGTTCTCGAGAAGAAACATGTTGATATGACATATATTCAAGTTATTAAAGATATGTATACTAGAGTTGTTACTTGTGTTCAAATTGAAGGAGGATTGGCCAATATTTTCTTATTTCTGTTGGATTACATCAGGAATCGACTTTAAACCCATATCTTTTTGCTTTAGTTAAGGATGATCTTACTGGACATTTACAGGAGGAAGTACATTGGTGTATGCCTTTTGCTGATGATATCCTTCTCATGGATAAGATGAGAGAAAAAGCCCATGAAATACTTGAATTATGGACATCTACATTGGAGTCTAAAGACCTTCACTTGAGTAGAACTAAAACTGAATGCATTGAATTTAATTTTAATAGTAGTAGCTCTAGTGACATAAATGTAACTTTGGGTGATCAAATTATTAAAAGGTGTGAACCATTTAGATATCTTGGGTCTGTTTTTCAGGTCTGTTTTTCAAAGCGATGCTGTTTTTCAAAGCGATGGTGATATAAATGGGAATGTGAATAGTAGAATTCAAGTTGGTTGGTTGAAGTGGAGGAATGTTCGAGCCTTTTGTGTGATAGAAAAATACCGCTTAGACTGAAAGGAAAATTTTATAAGACAGTGGTGAGACATGCAATGCTTTAAGCATAATACTAAGTTAACTTTTGTCGAGATGAGAATGGTTAGGTGGATGAGTGGCTTTACACTTAGAGACAAAATGCGGAATGAATATATCCGTGATAGGGTTGGTGTATCTACTGTGACAAATAAAATTAGAGAAAGTCGTCTTAGATGGTTTGGTCACATTAAACGTCGACCATTTGATGATTCGATTTGGAGAGTAGATGTTTTAGATTCGACTTATGTTAAGAAAGACAGATAGATATAGGAAGACTTGGGCTTATTGTGTAAAAAATGATTTTGATTTATTAGAACTAAATAAAAATATGACACTAATTAGGGCGCAATGGAGAAAAATGATTCATGTAGCCGACCCCACATAGTGGGATTAAGGCTTTGTTGTTGTTGTATTGTTATTTTATTCTGTTTTTATTGCTTTCCATTATTATGTCATTGTGATTGAGTTTAAATACCTCTCCTTCTATCAATAAAGTGTGTTGGTTTATTCCAAATCTCAACGGATATAATTTATAGAGTTAAGACTGGATAATAAAAATAAAATTTCTTAGAAATATTAGTTATGAAGACTTGAAATAATTAGTGATAGACATTTAAAAATCATTAATAGTTAAGTTGAGCATAAAGAAAATTAGAAATTAAAATGAATGTGTGATAGAACTAGGATAGATGAATGGCTATGTTAAATGGATGATTGAAATGACAATTATTACATTAAGCCATATTCTTGGTTGAGAGATATTATCTTTGATCTCCAAAGTGGAGATTCAAGGTTCAAATCCTTGACAAAAAAAATAAAAATAAAAAAATAAAAAAAATAAAAATAAAAAAGAAAACAAACAAACAAAATCTATTTAGGGTAAGGTGGTTGAAAATAAACTAATATCAATGAAGTTGTTTAAAATGACTTGGTAAAGATATACCTCATGCAATATTGGGAGGAATGAAGATAAAATATGAATTCTTAAATCAACCCCAAGTAGTTAGGATAAGGCTATTCATGTTGATAATAATACAAGTTCATGTAAATTCTATCAATTAGAACAATTAAAATTAAATAAAATCAAGTAGAATTTTAAGGTTGCATTAATTTTAATTAAAAGAGTCAGGTTGCAGTAAACTCAAGCATATGCTTGGGTTACAACAATCTTATGCAAAATGCTTGAGTTGCACAAGATTTACATGGAATGCCAAGGGCACTAAAATTATGCTCAACACTTATGATGTTCCAAACCTTGATAGAAGGCTCAGGTTATATGAAAAGGCAAGCATGCAACTCAAATATTTGTTCGAGGCTACGCCAAACTTTGATAAAATTTTAGGGTTGGTCCAATCCAAAGAAATTAAGGGTTGTAAAAAAATGTCTATGTTTCATCAAACGTAAGCAACCTAGGTGTTATTCTTGGATTTATTTAGGGCGGATCTGGTTTCCTTTTGATCTTTTGTTGACCAAAAATTTGTTTGGTCTTGCCCAGCATCTTCGTTGACATCATGGAAGACTACTTACTATTGAGTCTCCATTTATGGAGGAAGGCTAATAGGGTGGGTAAAAATTTGAATCACATAATAAAATGTTTGGTTTCATATCATAAATCAAATGGTTGAACTTGGTTAAGATTTGGAATTTCAAGGAACTGAGTAAAAAAAAATGAAGTATGCTATATATAATGCATTTTAAGCCATTTAAAAAAAAAGATTTTGGTTTGGTCTTAAATTGACATATTAAACCTCTTTTATTACTTTTAAACCATGTTGAGTCATACCAAATCAAATTGAACTCAATAGAAAATACTAACTTAATTTGAACAAATTCAATAATTTAATGGGTTTTAAATCATAGGAAAAAAATAAAGTAGGCAACTTGCTTTAATTTCAAGTTGATCTGTTCGATTTTAGTTTTTCTTTTTGATAGCTGGTTGAATTACCATTCAAATCATAACTGGTTTGAAATCTAACAAAACCTTGCCCCTTAAGGGCATATGTTTTTTTTAAAACCAAATTTATTCGTGTTACTTTTGTACAATATCAAACAAGATCTTTTGCATAAGTTTATTTAAAGATAATTTATTTATGAAATCTCTTATCTATTTTCCTTTATCTTATTTTCTTACATGCGAGCTTGAAAGTGTGAGGCTCATGTGAGCTTCTTAGAATCATATATAATTATTGATTGTTATGAATTTTCAAGATCTTAAAAGATGCTCCTATCTGTATTCGACTTGAGAGATTTTCTGATTTGTTGGGAACTTGCTTTGAAATCGCATTATTGTTGTAAGAGAGAAGGAAGAAGAAAAATATCGTGAATTTGATTGTGTTATTATAATCTAGTTAACTTTAGTTGTCCTTTTTGTAAAAAAAATATAATCTACATGGATTTGTGTACTAAGATACAAAAGAACATATGATTTTAAGCTAACAAGTTTTAGAGAGTTCTAGACAAAATTTCTTAATATATATTCATAAAATCATGGTCTAGTTTTCATTTGCTTAGTAGTTATCAACCCATTCCATTAGTTTTTCTAGCTCTTAAGCCTTGCTTATTTTGCAGATTCATCAGTTGTGGGTATTTTATTTGGAGGCTCACTTGGGCTCTAGCTATTTTTTTTAGTAATCCTACTAAAGTTTAGTCATTGTTCTCAACCATCATTATCATCATTAGTTTTAATTTTCATTTTTTGTCTTTCACACTGAGTGTGCATGAGATGTTAAACTTATTTAGTGCAAGTCTTTTTGAATAACTTCTATTCTTGTCATCTTAGATATTTTATTCTTTCCTAGTCTTTTGATATTAATTCCATTTGCATATCTAACCGGTTAATACCTTTCATTGTATATGTCCAACCACCCAAGGCTAATTTTCACTATATTATTTTCGAAAGAAGCTACTTCCACCATTTCTTTGGTTTATTCACTTCTCAACTAATTCTTTCTAGTTTTTTTATATATTTGTCAGAATGTTTTGTTTTCATCACCCTTAACTTAGCTATCAATAACATTTTTATTGTCCAATGTTCGGTTATATTCAATGCAGTTTTAAGCTATATTTCTTGGTAAAATGTTTGTTAATACACGTGTTCTTGACTGATAAAAAAATTGGATTACATCTTATCAGATTTTATATGTTTTAAACAGGCAATTAAAATGTGAATTTGTTGCTAATAGAAAGATTTGTTGCACAATGCAAGCAATATTTTATTTTATTTTATAGGAGTCAATAATTTAGGGAATGGTAAGCTTGTGTTTTGTCAAGAGTGAGCGAGCCTAAAAAGGTATGTATTTAGGAAGCGACCTAGAGAATTTTCTTTCGTTAGTTAAAATTCTCAAACTAGGACCTATCATAGCTAATCTGGATATGAGGCTTGTTGTTTAATAAATAGGCCATCTTACTTATTGGAGGCAAATGAGAGTTCAAGAAAAAGCGCAATTTGGCTTGTAGTCGGATTGCCTCATAAACAATCTTTCTTTGTTATTTTCAGAGGTGTCATGCTTCTCAAAGATTGAAATAGATTGGTTGAAGATTGTTATTTGTGATTGTAACTTAGTGGTGAACTTAGTATGCAAGCTAATTTCTTTTAGATTTGGTCCGAGGGAAAGCAAGAAGGCAATGATGTATAGTGATGTTGGTCGTTTAAATTGTCATGTGAGCTATACAACATTTTCCACTCCTATACGTGGCCAGGTTTATACTACTATCCTTGTGAATTATATAACTAACGTGAAGTATATAATTTTTTATTCTTGTGCTTACTAATGTAGTGCTTGCATGAATTTATTCTAGGGCTCTGACAATAAGGAATATTCATCATTACTTCACAAAGCATTAGAAGGTGCTATCAGACTGAAAACTTTCCCAAAGACCACCGTCGATATTTTTGCACTGGTACTGGAATCTGGTGGTGGTAGGTTCTTTTAGTAGCTGGTTCTGAGAAGTTTGAATTTTGATGCTTTTTATGCTGATTTTTTGTTTACCTTATACAACACGTAACCTTTCAAATGCAAAAACACTGGTTTTAGAATTCTGAGTGCTGTCATTTATGGTTTCCTACATTTAATTGCTTTAAGATTCTTTTTATATAATTCAATTTAATGCCCAATTAGGCGTATTACTGGATCTCAACTAACATAAGGGCATATTCAACATCTCACATTAAGTTTTGTCAATTAGTCATGACTATCTCTGCCACATTTGAGTTCTACTTGTCATGCATCCCGAAATTTTAAAGTAGTAATTTCCAATCTCTTAGATCCGTTTTCTATAGGGTGAGTGTGGGATAGCTGCAAGCACGCTGCACATCTCAAACTTCAGCACGTAGGCTGGCAACTATCCTGAATGCAGATTATTGTGGAAAATTTTGCTTCTCGGGCTGCAAAGCAGCACAACAGCAAAACTTCCCCAGGCGGTCCATGTCAAATTCACTTGGTCACTGTGACCATTTAAGTTGATGTGATAATGAAAGAGCTTGACGATGCTGTTTTATTGCAGACAATTTATTCGAGTTAATCTGTCACTTTGACTCATTAATTTTATGCGATGCGAAATTGCTTGATTTTAACAGTTATTGCGGACAATTTTTTTATTACTTTCATCTTTTAACACCCTCCAACCTTATTATGGTCTGTAGTTATTCCAGATTCTCTTAGGGGTTGATTTTTTGCATGCATTTAGAATTTAGAGGTACTATAAATACACAGCAAACATAAATACAGTGTATTTGCAATTAATGAGATTTTATTTATGTTTGGTTGGATAAAAGAAAAATAGAACTTTAGAGGTTTTCACCCAAGGTAGAGGATATACGATGGTTGAAGTTTTTGTGGTCCAAGTGATCACATGATACATGGCGTCTATGCTTGCAGTCGAGCTCTTTGCGAGATACAAGGATAAGAGGTATTTACAAGGTTGAGAGCTCTTCACAGTCATGGTCAAGATTGATTGAAGCAGTGACACAATCATGGTCAAGATTGATTGAAGCAGTGTTACTGGAATTAGCCCAAACCACAATAATGGAAGCAAATATTATAAAGTAAAAACAATTACGATTACAACCAAAACTCAAGCGAAAACACAACAAAACATCAATATCCCGCTAGGGCTGAGTAGGAGCATCCGGGGGCATTGGTGTCGAGGCTTGGTGGTTGGTGATTGAGTAGGGAAGGGATTGTGGTGGATGGGTGGAGACTGGGTGGCTGACAACTGTAGACATGGAGAAGAAGAGGGTCTGGGATGGCCGATGGATGAAGTTGTGTGGAAGAAGGTGGCAGAGAGGTTGGTTGTGGGACATAGGGGTGCAAAGAGATAGTAGGTGGGGAGGCGACTAGAAACAGGAAGGAATGAAGAGAGTAGTAGGTCGGCAATGGGAAATACGGGTGCAGGGAGATAGTATGTCGGGCGGCGGCTAGGAATAGGAAGGAATGATGAGGGCAGTATGTTGGTGGCTGAAAGCTGGAAGGGAGGAGGGTGGTAGCAGACCAACGACTGAAAGGAAAGGATGGCGCTAGTTTAAGGATAGTGGCCAGGCTCAGGATTGCGTAGGGGAAGTAGATAGAGGTCTTCACCACCTCAAAGCAGGCTATAATCGGAGCATCACCTATCCTCGAATACTGTCCTGACAAAGGAAAACATCTGGAGGCAGTAATCTTAAATCAGAAAACTAAAAATAAACCATACTCAACAAGCAACATATTTATAATAGGTAGATATGAGGAGGGGGGCAGGGGCAGTAGTTCCGACGCACTAGCTGGCTGGCTGGTCTAGAGTACCTGCTCGAACGACTCCCCATGGCTGAATCGACCAGTTTAGCCCATACACCCCACGTCAGTCTCCTGGGGTTGGGGGAATATCGACTTCATTTGTCGAAGCTTCTAGGTTTTTATAATGCGATGTCGGGTCCGCGACGTTGAACGCGACAGAAACATTGTAATCCCTTGATAGGTTGATCTTATAGGCGTTGTCATTCCACTTTCGAATTACTCTAAATGGTCTGTCAGATATGGGCTTGAGTTTTGTTAATGCTTCTACCAGAAATCTCTATCTTCAGCCTGATCCACACTGAGTCTCTTTCATTAAAGGTCACCTTTTTCCTTGTTTTGTTTGCCTTTGCCTGATACTTGCGATTTTGCTTAGTGATCTCTTTGCCAACCTCCTCTTAGAGCTTGTAAGTGTCATGCACTCATTCCTTTGCATCCTCAATAATCTCTGATGTCGATCGGAGTGGTACCAAATCGAGTGGAGTGAGCTGGTTGCGCCCGTACACAATCTCAAATGGGGTGCGGCCCTAATTTGACTCGCAGATCTGTTGTAAGCAAACTCGGCCCAAGCTAGAATCAAATTCCATTGCTTAATATTCTTCCTCACAAAACATCTTAGCAGATTTTCAAGGCTCATCTTCACTATCTTCGTCTGATCACCCATTTAGGATGAAATGTGGAACTGAATTGAAGCTTAGTGCATAATTTTTTTCCACAGAGTCCTCCTGAAGTAACTCAGGAATTTGACATCCCTATCTGAAGTCATGGTCCTGGGTGTTCCGTGCAGCCTCACAATCTCCCTGAAATACAAGTCAACGACATGTGATGCATCTAGTGTCCAGTGGCAGGGTGCGAAATGTGTCATCTACGAGAATCCATCTACCACAACCATGACTGAATTCTTATTCTGTTATGTTCTCGGAAGACCTACCACAAAATCCATGTTGACATCCATCCACAGTGCCTCTGGCGCTGATAATGGGGTGTATAGTTCTGCATTTCGCCCTGGTTTTTGCCACATTGTCAAATCCGACATTGCTTGATGTGTCACTTCATATCCCTCACTAATCAGGGTCAAAAAAATATTCTCATGAGTGCGAGAGTCTTGTCCCTGTCAAAATACTCTGCAAGTCCTCCATTATAGCTTTCCTGAACACATGACTTTCTTAGGGATCATCCGGGAATGCATAACTTACTCCAATAGAACAAGTAACCATCAGCTTTGCAGTACTTCCCGGTAGGTTTTTCCTAATATTGTTCTCAAATTTTCTTGAAATTCTCATTTGTCTTGCATAACTCATTTACTACCTCAAAGCCTATGACTCAGGCTTGAATTGCAGTGATCAACAAGTGACGACAGCTCAGTGCATCTGTCACATGATTTTGACTTTCTGCCTTGTACTTAAGCATGAACTTGAACAATCCTAAGAACTCCTCACAAGTTGTGTGTAGTTTGCTCTGGTTTTTCAAGGCTCTGTGATCCGTGAACAGTGCGAACTCTCTTGTCAGTGGGTAATGACTTTAGTGCTCAAGAGCTCTCACAATAACATAAAATCTCTTATCGTACGTCAAAATATCTCTTGGACTCATTTAGCGTTTTAGTGAAAAAGCGATGGGGTGACCGCCCTGGCTCAACACTACTCTTATCTCCACTCCGGAGGCATCACAATAGCTGGCCAACTGGTCTAGCGTCCCTACTCGACCTACTCCGCATAGTTGAACCAACCAGTTCAACCTATACACCATGCGTCAGTTTCCCGGGATTGGGGGAACATCGACTTCATTCGTCGGAACTTCTGGCTTTTTACAATGCGATGTCGGGTTCGCGACGTTGAACACAACGAAAATATTGTAATCCCTTGATAGGTCAATCTTATAGATGCTGTCATTCCACTTTCGAATTACTCTAAATGGTCCGTCAGCTATGGAATTGAGTTTTTTGAATGCTTCTGTCGGGCCACACTGGGTCTCTTTCATTAAAGGTCACCTTTTTCTATGTTTTGTTTGCCTTTGCCTAACACTTGTGATTTTGCTTAGTGATCTATTTGCCAACCTCCTCTTAGAACTTTTAAATCTTGTGCACATGTTCTTTTGCATTCTCACTAATCTCTAATGTCGACTGGAGTGGTACCGAATCGAGTGGAGTGAGCGGGTTGCGGTCGTACACGATCTCAAATGGGGTGCGACCCGTAGTCAGACTCATAGATCTGTTGTAAGGAAACTCGGCTCGAGAAAGTATCAAATTCCATTGCTTAATATTCTTACTCACAAAATATCTTGGCATATTTTCAAGGCTCTTCACTATCTTAGTCTGATCGCCCATTTAAGATGAGCTGCGGAACTGAATTGAAGCTTAGCGCCTAATTTTCCCTACAGAGTCCTCCAGAAGTGATTCAGGAATTTGATATTGCTATCTGAAGTCATGGTCCTGGGTGTCCCGTGCAGCCTCACAATCTTTCTGAAGTACAAGTCGACGACATGTGATGCATTCAGCGTCCAGTGACAGGGTAAACCCTAAATCGACCTACCATAACCATGACTAAATTCTTATTCTGTTATGTACTCGGAAGATCTACCACAAAATCCATGTTGACATCCACACACGGTGCCTCTGACACTGATAATGTGTATAGTCCTGCATTTTGTCCTCTGGTTTTTGCCACATGTCAAATCCGACATTGCTTGATGTGTCGCTCGATATCTCTCACTAATCAAGGACAAAAAAATATTCTCATGAGTGCGAGAGTCTTGTCCCCATCAAAATACTCTGCAAGTCCTCCACTGACTCTGCTGAACACTGGACTTCCTTAGCAAACATCTAGGAATGCACAACTTTCTCAGATAGAACAAACAACCATTAACTTTGCAGTACTGCCCAGTAGGTTTCCTCTGACATTGTTATCAAATTTTCCCTAAATCCTCATGTGACTTGTATAACTCCTTTACTACCTCAAAGCCTATGGCTCAGATTTGCATTGCAGTGATCAACAAGTGACGATGGCTCAGTGCATCTGCCACATGATTTTGACTTCCCACCTTGTACTTAAGCATGAACTTGAACAAGGCTAAGAACTCCTCACAAGTTATGTGTCAGCCCTTTAGTTTTCTGTGGTTTAAAAATTTCAAGGCTTTGTGATCCGTGAACAATGCA